AAAAGGACAGTCTGGGAAAGGCAGAGTTTTTCTACGTGCCCAATCGTTTTCTAGTTGTTGAGTAGCAAAGAAAGGCTACATTCAGATTGTTATTGTGTAGCCTGAATTTTTTTGTTTGCAGTTAGAAGTTCCCTTTTAAAATGATTACGATTGATGTCCCATTTCGCTATTGTTATAGAACCTCAACGTATGTGTATTCTCCGTCACTGCTCAAACCGGAGACATTTGTTGATGTGGTGGCTTTTCGAAGGGACGTTATCACAACGTTGAATTTGGGAGAATTAGAGGTACGTCTACTTGCTCCCGTATAACACTATGCAGAGGGTATACGTCAAGAGAATCGTAATTCGCCGCGCTGATGGGCGTCGCGTGCGACGTCGCGCCCGCAAATGACGATGGTTCCAGGTAGTAGATGGCGACAACAGGCAATTCAGAACCGAAAATAGTCATGAATGTCTACGATGACGGGTCTACATGAAGTCCGGTGCTCCATCGACAGGTTAACACGAGTTGAGAAAACGCCGCGCCCATCGCCGCGCGCGGCGGAGCGGCAGATTACGATTCTCTTGCCCGTTTCTCCTATGCAGAGGACTAGCGCTTTGAAATGCATTCAGCTACCACCGCAGTCATTAAAGCATCTGTACATCAAAGGTATCATCACCTAGAAAGTGAGGTGATTATACCGAGCAGTGGTATTGACATCTTGATCCCGCGAGCCATAATGCTTCAAAGGCGAACACAACTCATTTTCTGGGGTTCTGGTCCCTGGCGTCTGCGAGGTGAATGGGTCCGCAGCTGTAGTAACGTGCCACTTTCTCCGCTCAGAAGTGCATTGGCTGGAACGCGGCTGGAGGGTAGTGATATCCAAGTGCCGTCTCCCTAATCCACCCGCGCTGCCGAACGGCCGATCTTACCCCTGACCATAGCTAGGCGTTTTACTTGTCTGCGCTCTCTTTTCTGGTTGCTCAGTATCTCGTTCTACGTGTTTGCTGTGGGATTTGGTGTGGACGCAAGTGCTACACCTTCAGAGTAACTAGAAACAGAAAAAGAGAATGCACTCCAGAACATAGATGATCCGTTACGTCTCTCACCCCAGACAAACCATCATTATTTTGTCAACCCCCGGGCTCGTCACTGAAGTCAGGAGTGGGCATGGGGTGTCACTACCCTTCGGTCTCGTTCCTGTACTTTAGCAAAGACGCTCCCGCAGCTACAAGCCATTCACCTCGTCCATGGAAAGGACCGTCCTCGGAAGTGAGTGTACAGTGTGTCTTCATGACAGATTACTCCTCCAGGCAGCTGGACGACTGCTGAGAAGATTGAGCTTTCCGAATCTCAAGGAACTGGTTTGGCACAATGCAGATATGTCCGAGCTGGAAGTAAGTTCTCTTCCAAATAACGGGGGACTTCATTTTTCTGCGGGACAAGCCTACTCCTGATAGTAGGTGGAAGTTAGTGACAGAAATTGTCGCAAATTGACATGTTTTTAATTAGTTGGATTTTGCATTTCATACTCACGGATGTCCTAGTCGAAATCCAAACAGTCTTGGATTTTGTGAACAGTAGTTTGCCACAGATAACCTGTGCTTTCCCCGTTAATCTGGGATGGCTCTTGTGATAAAGGAGGTGGTACAGTGATAAGTGACACTTCTCACTAGGCATACAGTCCGCAGGTATAATTTCTGATAGGCTCACACCCAAGCCAAGGCATTTCGTAGCATGCTCGTCCGGGTGGATAAAAACATTGAGTTTTGCACATCTACGATGTACAAAACGCTTGGGCTCCGCGGCTTATTTTGTAGGCCAAATAAGATTCAAACGCCTCAACGGAGTGTAGAATGCGCGGCGCAGCATAACAGGAGTTTGATCGGTGCCGAGACTCTTATTCGCTCTATTTTGCCTTTTTGTTTCTTGTATCCTACAATTTCACATTTGTGAATAGCAGCTCGCATGTGAACCAGGGCTTTTAGGCGTTGGAATTTCGTCGTTGTCCACGCGCACTTTTCCAAACTTCCTCCGAGTTATTCGCCGGATTTCGTTGAGGGAGAGGGGTAGTTAGTACATATGGAAAGCGAAGAAACGAAAAGTTCTCAGCAGCACTAGAAGGCGAATCAGGTACAGCATAGGGATAGGCGAAATGTCGGTGTGAGTACGACCCCCCCCCTTTTTTTTTCCCCGCTGGTACGACCCCCCTCAGCTCGACCGGCTCTTTCGCCGACTGGACGAGCGCATGAGAATATAGCCGCGAAAAAGTTCTCGAGCGGGGGGAGGGGGGGGGGTTGTATACAATAACTGTGCAACGTATTATTCGGGCGCGGTGTACAGGTGTCATTTAAATGCAATAAAAACAAAAATTAATACGACCCCCACTTTTCCACAAGATAAAATCAACTATCAAAATAAATTTGTCTCCAACAAATACGACCCCCCCCCTCCCCCCAGAAAAGTACACCCCTATGTGTTTCACACAAACGATGCATGCCCTGCAGGCGAATACACGCCCCCCCGTCCTGATAAATCCAGAGTAGGCTCAAATCAACATCAAAAAAATTCTCTCGGACCAATTACGACCCCCATGTGGGGGAAACCCCACGATGATGTGCCCTGTTGTGAACTGTCCTTAATAAAACCATGTTCGATTTTGTTATGAATTGCACTGAGGCTCAAAATTTTCTCCGGGCGACACTGTGCAACATAACAAGAAAAAAAAAAGAAATCAGTTCCGCTTGTAATGCTGCACATGTGGCAACATAGAAAAAAAAGAAATCCAGTCCCGTTGCAATGCTCACTTTTTGAGATTCTTCTTAGAGTTGGGATGCTCCTGAACTGACTGTGCTGTCTGTGACAGCTGCCGCTTCATCTATGAGTGGCTTTGACGTTGTCACACGTCTACCAAAGCTGGAACATCTCTATACAGGACTAAAGGTCCCAGATGATCCGTACGTTTATTCTTTTGGGTTTTCTAGAGCTAGAGTGAATTTGTTCTAGTAGTGATGAAGGGTTCTATGGAGGTTTCTCCACCAACGGTCCTTTTTGTGCTATTATTTTTGCAGGACGAGGTTTGACCTGGACGTACTGCTAAGATCCTACCAAGCGTTTTGGAATACGCCCGTGCTTACTACGAGAAGGGGGCAATGGGATGAAGAGAACGGACATGACTATGTCATTTCTGCTGTGTCGAATCTCCGCAGCGTAGCGTTTTGGAATGCTCCTGAGAAGGTAGCAGTGAAAATGTTTGCCTTGATTGATGCATTCCAACATTTCCGTTTTGACTCTCATACCTTTAGGTTTTTGCTCTGATGGCAAAGAACAGTATCACCTTCGACACGGTGCAGTTCGGCCAGTTGAACCAGGCCCTCACTCGTCTATGCTCCCTTGACTCAATAATGCAGGTCAGGAGCTCTGTCGTTTCAGAACTATCAGTGAAAAATTCTTTCATTACTTCGTATTTGACCTTATTGAAAAACAGAAGTGCCCCCAACTGCCGGATGTTAGAAAAATAGTTGACAACTTCATATTCACATTTCACCATAAGCTATAGGCTCGGCGGGGCGATCAGCTCGGGCGATACGGTGGGCTTTCCCACAGGTGAAAAGTTGAGCCGGCTGTAAGGTAACAATAGTTGAAAAGTGGGCCCAGCGGCGACTGTGTACTCCCTCTTTCACTCGCCTGCCTCCTTTCCGTCTGGATACTAGCAGCCACGTCCCTTTTCGCTCTCAAATACGGATTGTAGGCCACAAGGGTGGTCGAAATATGTACAGGATGCTTGCAATGTCCACTCATCAAAACCTTTTCACTCTGAAATGAGCTCAACCAGTAGGCGCGCTGTTGTCTGTCTCCTCTATGCTCTCTGATCCCTTTGTCGTAGGTTTTCTCTTGCAGGCTCTCAGTGTTTCTTCACTGCATGATTGCGCAATATTTGAAAGCAGTTGCAGGAAAGGATTTACTATAGGCGTTCCCAACTATCTTCTCTTGCTTTTTTTCTGTGGTGGGGCTGATGAGCGCGTAGAAATTCATTTTTATACCCTTCTATCCCCATCTTGTCGGTCTGGATTACTCTTTCAAACGAGGTAAAAAGATGATATGAGCGAGAAATAGACGGGAATATGAAGTATGAAGTGGATGGAGAAATGCAGGTTTGTTGAGTGGGTTGCGGGTTTGTTCGAGATGATGAACTGTTAGACAGTTTCTTACTGATTATGAAAGTTTCAGGCTCTTTTCAAATTTAATCAACCGAAATATGAATGTTACAAGCTCAGTATCTCCCATCTCAAGGTAAAACAGAATTTTTTGAATTTTGATCCATCGAGCACGCCCGTTTTTTACTGTTCCAGATGTATTTACATGCAATGCCTGTTGTGTCTCTAGATTATTACCTACCTCAGTTGATGATGGGAATCAATGACGTGAGTTCAGCAACAATGACAATTATCAAGTGTTTCGGTTTCTGAGGCAAGATGCTGTTTTGAAGTTTTGCAGCTATTAATGGGCCGCGTATTTGAAACGAAGTGTAATGCTTTTGGTTGTGCTCCCTTTTTTGAGCGACAGAGCTGGCATGCACCTATAGTCGCCTCCGCTGCAGACGCTGGGCTTATCGGACGGCTGGATTTGGCGCGTCGCCAGTTTTTCACCATCTGCTATCGCTTGCCCGCTTCGACAGGTGATGCGAACGTCACGCTGAACTGTCGAACTCACTACTCTATCAATAGGGCTGCAACCGTTGTCTACAGAACTCGTCCTTGCAACACGGTAGTGTTGCCCAGTGGTGTCTCTGTGCCCGCTGGACATCCTACCACAGTGCTTGATTGCTCGCTCTACTGTGAAAGTATGACCTTTCACTCCCTGGAGGAGCGAGCCAATGTAACCAGCTTTCGGTTGGGAAGAACTTTGGGTTCCCTTTCCCTGGTTGTTGTCATGCTTCTTCGCAATCCCGTCTATAGGATGCACTTCCGCGTTGAACGCCATGGGAGTCGGGTCAGACTGATAACAGAGTCTTTCACCTACCGTACCCATGAGCTCAACAGTATCCCTGGAGGAAAATAGCCTGTAGAGTCAGAAGCATATGAGAGAAAGGTTCCACTATTGCTAGATGTCTTTTCATCCCATGACGACACATATCCGCTTGTGACGATGATGACACGTCAAAAATTATTCGCCTCGGTCAGGGAATACGACCACACCAGCCTATATATCAGGGTCGGCACCTTCAGGCTATCGCCTTTTTGGGCCCCTGATGCATCCCTCAGAGAATGGTCATCTTCACCATCTCGAAAACGTTATCGACCATTCTTTCATGTCGCAGTAACCCTTTATCTGGAGAAGCAGTTCCGGGGAGCTGCTGAACAAATGGTCATTTTCTTGAACACTAATGATTACCTTGATGATAAAAGGCTCCGTACAATATTCTTTCTCAGAGTTCCTTCTAAATGCCGCAGGACTTTTGATCAACCCAATGCCATAGAGGAGACTAGTGACTGTTAGATACACGATAACACCTCGACCTCTGCTGTACACTCCCTATCCCAAAGACGGAGTGGGCGTGGCTTGAGCATGGCATAGGACGCGTTTCTCGTGGGATACTTCAATTTGAAACAACTGCTATATTGTTCTGTTTTATATGTAGACATGGTTACGACTTCTCCAAAATGAAAATATCTCACGAAAACCTGGGCCGCCGCCATTTTAAAACCAAGTCACAGCCACGCCTACCAATCTCAGGGATTTCGAGTATATCTCAGAAGCTGGAAAAGCCTGCCGTGCTAATAATAAGTTTGAAGTTTCACCACGAAAAAACCGTTTTGAACGCAGAACTTTCGAAAGTACTAAAGAGAACGTGAGGAGTCTTGTTAAAGTCAGTGTTTTCTTGAAAAGGATTGCGTTCAACTAACCAGTCCATGAGATACACTTCATATCCTAGGAATTGACTTCGTGGCTGCGTACATCAGGTACAGCATCGTTGTGCGAAACCCATAGGGGGTCGTACTTGGCCGCTGGGGGGGGGGGGGGGGTCGTAATCTCAAGGGTCACTCAGAGCCGAGCAATGCTTCGACATTTCAGTTGATAGTGGGAGTGGAGCTATGGAAGTCAAGATGTTTAAAAAAAAATGAAGTTTATTATGAGTGTATTCTTTACAGCTTTAAATGCTACGTTTAACAGCCCTCTTTTCATGGGAAATCCCCAAGAATGGGTTCGTACTTGGCCGCGGGGGACGTGGGGAGTATCGCAAAGTAGGCTCGCTAGGCATCAAACAGTACAAAGGGTGTCATTGCTAAGGGTAATGGAACGGACGGAAAGATTCAGAAGACCCGGATGTAATTAGGAATACAAATAATAAAAGATTTATTAGCAATATAGCAAGAATAATAAATAAATAAATAAGTGTCAGTTTATAGCATGAACTCGTAAGTACGTAGATGACTAAATAATCGTCCCAACAGACGTGTGGTGTTGTCCTTTACAAACCCTAAACAAACATCTGCTTGCATGGATAAAAGCACCTGAAATCAGAATTTACACCTTTCCACCACCTCTCCGTAGGAGCCTAATGCACGGCGCACGGACCAAACCGATTAGTGATAGCCGAGCTCCTCTTCCACTCATTTGAAGGGAAATATGTATTTTGGAGGCACACTGAAAGCTGTTCCTCACAATGGACATAGGAGGTCAATTTTCGGGTGCTCCATGGTAGCGCAAGGAACATCTAAAATATCTCCTGAACTAGTGGGTCTTCAGAAAAACCGTGAAGCTTGTTGGAAAGAGAAAGGATGGAGGGGTTTCAGGACGTTTTTAATCCTGATGAAATTGCGTTTGAACGAAGCAATCCTCGCGTGAAGCATGGAAACCAGCTCGCGATTTACCCCTAGCCTATCCAAAACCCATCCGGAATATTTCACCAACGGGATTGTTATCTTTGTTCAGTTTGCAACTAGGTAGAATACACAACAGTAGAAACTTTGCCGTTGCATGCTGCTCACCATTCCTCAAAAGCTCCGCACCTAAAAAAGATATAACCCCCCGAACAGACCCCAGGACGTTGGCAAGTCCAACAACGCGCTCCAATGACGTTTTTCCAAAGAAAGCGGTCGCAGCCTTGCGCCCTGCAGCCTGATCGATAATAGCCAAGTATGGAACGATTTACTGCCGGCCTGGTTATCCTTTTTTCATTTAGCTCTGCATTTTTTGTATTTTCCATGTTTCGCTTTGTTGTGTCGTGCATGTTTTCATTATTTCCCCGTCACCATTCATTGAATGCACATCTGGGCCCTGACACGCTCACCTTGGGGCTATTT